GCTAAAATCAAAAGAGCCTGTGCAGCAATATCTGGTGACGGTGAAACTTTTTTCACCAACGGTCTTAAATAAGGATGATGATACGGCATAGTTGATGGTGATGATGTAGTAGTGGCAGTAATGTTAGAAGATGAAGATGATGATGTGATTGGTGTAGATGATGATGGTGGAGTTGAAGCAGTTCTTGGGGAAGATGAAGATGCAGGGGGTGATTCAATTTCTTCAGTCGAACCTTCATCCAACTGATTATATTTATTCCAGTCTCTACGTCTACGTTGAATCTTTGCTTTTCTCATAGCAATAGGTCTGTCTCTATTATGTAATTTTGCATACAATCCACATGCATTACAAAGTGGTTGTCCCTTGTCATTTGCTAATAATATAGATGAAGAAAGAGGTGCAGTAGTATTGGAGGTGGTGGTGGCATTATTGTTACTGTTGCTGTTGCTGTTACTACTGCTGTTATTTTCAGTATTATTAGATTTATCATTATTATTATTATTATTACTATTATTATTATTGTCAGTATTATTAGATTTATTATTGCTATTATTATTATTGTCAGTATTGTTAGATTTATTATTACTATTATTATTGCTATTACCAGTATTAGTAGTATTAGTATTAGTATTAGATGTTGGAGCTAAGGTTGGTGAGTTGGGGGTTTTTGTAGGAGATGAAGCTTCTTGTAATATCCTTGTAGTATTTAATATTGAGGATATTGATGGTGGTGTTTCAAATGATGATGACGTTGGCAATAATAATAGTGGAGATGATGGAGATGGTGTGAATGATGTATTTGGCAATTGTGGTATTGGAGGTATTGAAGATAATGGAGCGTACAATGATAAAGATGGTGATGATATTAATGGCGGTAAAGTAGGTGATAAAATGGGGGTGGTGTTTTGGGTTTCAATCGAGTTAGCGCCACTGTATATCGGAGATTCAACACAATTTCTGTCCAAACCATAATCATCATAATTTGATTCATGGCCAAGATGTTCAGATGACATATCTGACATATCATCCATCATGGCATCAGTGTCATCATCCTCACCTTTCATTGCTGGTAAAATGTATGGATATGATTTAGATGATGAAGTTCTTGTCTTGTGTATGATGTGAAGCGGCCTGTGAACATGATATTGTTTATAATATAAACCACAAGCATTACAAAGCGAATGCATTCTATCTGGAGTCCTCCGCCAAAGAGGAGTATTCTTAATACCACAGTTAAAGCATTGCAATTGACGAGGCGGTTTAGAAGATGTTCTTTTAGTTACTTTATGATGATTATTAATAAGAGAGTTTCCAGAAGAACTGGTAGAAGTTGAGTCATTGTTATTATTACTATTATTTCCCTTGTGAAGTTTTGATGAATGAACAGAAGTAAGTATATTAACAGCCGTACGAATATCAGCTGCGTGATGGTTATTATCAAATTCACTAGGTGTAGGTGGAGTTGTTGATATTGGAGAATTTTGTGATGATGCTGTTTCAGTCGAAGCAGTTGACTCAAATGAGTTGCGACGTGAAGAAACTAAAATGAAATAAAAGATGAAATAAAAGATGAGAAATGAATAATATATGTAAAATGAATAATATATATATGTATATATATATATACATATTCTTTTAAATAATACATAAGAAATAAACCTTTTAACAGTTATTCTTTACCAATTTACTTACTTAAATAACTTTCAACTATTTGTTTCTGGTAACTTAGCGAATGATTTAAAGCCAACATATTTTTTCAATTATGTGTAAAGTAATCCAAAGAAGATTATTTAGATTTTTTGGGATAAAATTTATTATATAAAAGATAAAAAAATTATGTGATAATAATTTATATAGATGTAGATACAATATATTTATTATAAATAGATATAGATAATAGATAATAGATAAAACGGAATAAGTTTGATAAAAAATTGTTTTAAATAGAAAGAGAGATGTGAAAGAGAAAATAAAAAATTTTTTATATTTATTTTATTTTTCCTTTAGATAAAATTATTTGGTAAAGAAATTTTTAATTAATTAGAAAAAAGAGATGATGATGATAATGAAGATGATGTTTCAGAGAGAAAAATAAAATAAAACGAAAAGAAAAAGCAGCACAAAACAAATTATATTTTTTATAAGTTTTGTTGATCTTCGTCAGATCATTATTGTTTCCACAGAAATAATCTCTCACTCTTTGTTGTATATTATTATATACAATACATAATAATAATAATAAAATCAAATAACCAATTAATCAAAATCATTACACTCAAACATACAACATATCATCATTAATTGATCACAATAACCAATAAAATTTCATTAATCTATCCGCAGTCACTAATATATAGATTTTTCTAATTTTATAATATGTATAATGTGACCGACCATTTATACCCACAACTCCGAATTATCATCAATCACCTTACAAAAATTAACTATTATTAAACCCATCATCCTTACATCATCAACATTCTATTTAAATTAATTATATGATTATGACTATATTGATTTTTCGTATTTAATTTTTCCCTTTAATTTCGACTCGACTCATTGACTAATTAAATTAAGTTTTATTATAGTTCTAAATTAATCAAATTAATCAGTTTAAATAAGATTGATTTTAATATAAATTCCGGCCGTCCGGCCGAAAACAAAAAATCCCACAATAAATCTAAAAATAAAAACATTATTTATGTGTGTCATACATACAAAATTTATATTAAAGTGTTACATAATTATTTTAATTTATATATTTATACGTGATTAACATATGTGTATCCTTCTTCCAAGTAAATGTGCTACTTATTTTTACTTTATTTTACAATCATTTAAAGCAAATCATATTACTTACATTATCTCTATTTTAATAATATATTGTAATAATATTTATTATACAAATAAAATGTATCATGCATAATACTAATTTTACTATTAAACCAACAAAATCATCCAAATTCTCTAAATAAATCACCAAAATTCACCAACAAAAAATCATTTCTTTCCATCAAAACAAAACAATGATTTATTCTTTTAAACTTATTCTCTCTTATTTTCCTCTCTAATGTAAAATTCTAGAAATAGAATACAGACAGAACCTTATTATATATTTTTGTGTGTCATTCATTATAGCCACATTGGTCATGTGGCTTAAAGATTTTCAAATTCCAACCTCCAAAAAATAAAATTGGGAATTCTTATTTTTCCTGAGCCACGCACATGAACTTACATATTCTTTTCTTTCTTACACACATTATATCAAGATGTTGATTGATATTCTTTTTATATATCAAGTATACCATTCTTTTGGAAAAAATTTAAAATTATTGTTGTCAGAATTGTAGTCAAGTTGCCTGAATTTTATTATTTATTGCCGCCTTTGAAAACACAATATTAGTAAAATCAACATAACAATAATAATAATATAACCTTTTTTCTATTGTAATTAATTTAGGTAAAAAATTTTACCTGAAATTACCGATTGTCAGTCAATCTTAATTTCATTGTCACGTGAACAAAACATTGTTCTTTACAATTACTGCGATAATTCAATATACATACATACATACATACATACACGCACATCTTATAAATCGATTATTCTTCTCAATCTACTTACTAATAACATCTTATCATCATCATAACCACTTCAAATAAATAAATAAAACGAATAAAATATAGCTTTGTATTATAAATCTTTTTCGGTTGTCTCTCTCATTATTTCATCAATTTCATCACTTCAAATGAATTATAATCTTGATACGTTCTTCAATTATTTATTACCTCCAACAATCATCCCTATATCGGTCCCCCACAAACCCTTATCTATCTAAAACCTTTCAAATGAAAAACAGCAATGTTAAAATATCATGAAACTCAAGACAATGTGCTACTGTTTGTTATACTTGTTGTCAGTGATACTTGAATAATTTACTTAATATTGATAAATTTATCAAGAATTTTATGCAGACCATCAAAATTTAGTATAAATTCACGCTAACACTACTTATTGTTCTGGCCTTCACTTTCTTTGTTAACTCTATTTGGTTATTTCAGTTACTTGCTTCTCTAACTTTTTAATTGCTGTTTCAGTATCATTCTCGAATAGTTGATTGATTGATTGCCTTTCTTGTTTTTTCTTGCTTTGTTTATTTTCAAGATTATTTTCTAAACCTTTTTATTTTCTTTCATCTTGTTCCTACCCCTTATTTTGTTGATTCACTGATTGTTATCTCATCATTTTTATTATTCACTATTGACTTTTGCAATTTAATAAT